AATGTAACCGGTATAAATATACTGGTTTAATTAGAAAAAAGTTAACATAATGTATCGACACTTTTTAAATTTTTGTCGGTACTTCTTGTCCAGAATGTATGCCCAAACTAGGTGCACCATAAAGTGTCGATACATTTATAAAACGTATCGATCCCAAAAACATCGAAACCCATAATTTTAATGTAATAGATAATTTTGCAATGTAACCGGTATAAATATACCAGTTTAATAAGAAAAGCAGTCAACTTAATGTATCGACACTTTTTAAATTTGTTTCGGTACTTCTTATCCAGAATATTTAACCCAAACTAGGTGCACCCATAAAGTGTCGATACATTTATAAAAAGTATCAATCCCAAAAATATCGAAACTCATAATTTTAATGTAATAGGTAAATTTGCAATTAACCTGTATAAATATATCGGTTTAATTAGAAAAGCGGTCAACTTAATGTATCGACACTTTTTAAATTTGTGTCGGTACTTTTTGTCTAGAATGTGTGCCCAAACTAGGTGCACCCATAAAGTGTCGATACATTATAAAAAGTATCGATCCAAAAACATCGAAACCCATTATTTTAATGTAATAGGTAATTTTGCAATGTAACCGGTATAAATATACTGGTTTAATTAGAAAAGCGGTCAACTTAATGTATCGACACTTTTTAAATTTGTGTCGGTAGTTCTTGTCCAGAATGTATGCCCAAACTAGGTGCACCATAAAGTGTGATACATTTATAAAAAATATCGATTCCAAAAACATCGAAACCCATTATTTTAATGTAATAGGCAATTTTGCAATGTAACTGGTATAAATATACTGGTTTAATTAGAAAAACAATCAACTTAATGTATCGACACTTTTTAAATTTGTGTCGGTACTTCTTATCCAGAATATTTAACCCAAACTAGGTGTACCCATAAAGTGTCGATACATTTATAAAAAGTATCAATCCCAAAAGCATCAAAACTCATAATTTTAATGTAATAGGTAAATTGCAATGTAACCTGTATAAATATATCGGTTTAATTAGAAAAAGCGATCAACTTAATGTATCGACTCTTTTTAAATTTGTATCGGTACTTTTTGTCCAGAATGTGTGCCCAAACTAGGTGCACCCATAAAGGTCGATACATTTATAAAAAGTATCGATCCCAAAAACATAGAAACCCATAATTTTAATGTAATAGGTAATTTTTCAATATAACCGGTATAAATGTACCGGTTTAATTAGAAAATCGGTCAACATAATGTATTGACACATGTGTAATTTGTGTCGGTACCTTTTTAAATTTCGCGTATTTTTTCCCTTAATTATTTATTTATAGATTATAATCGATACAAACTCTAAATCAAAAAACCCTAAACCTAAACCTAAAGGCATAAGAGAACTCTTCGACTCCGACGAATACCATCGTTTATAACAGTTACGATCAGATATTCAGGTAAATTTGTCGATATTTTGCCATAAATTAGAGTTTGATTGATTTCCAGATTGGACTCTTTTTTTCCTTAATGTGTTTGTGTTCCAATGTAACAGTATCCACACCCAAAATGGCTCCAAAACGTCAGCGTCAGAAGCGCGGTCTTTCTCAAAGCTCTTCTCAACCCACCTTTTCTTAACCACAACCTCCTTCTCAAACAATCGCTTCTTCTGAGGAAATCAGGTCGTTCGAAACTCTGAACTTTAGATTCGATGTGGAGAAAGAAAGATGGCAGAGGAGTTTTAAAGTAAGGAAGATTAATCATGAATGTGTCATTGACATGGGTTTCTTGTTCGATGATAAATATTCATTTAGTTTTAAATCCATATTTACATCTTGGTTTGGCTTGAATTCCTTGGTGTAGAACCAAAATATTACCCCAACCTAGTTAGAGTCTTCTACAACAATGCTTCCTTATAGCACGAGGCTAATAAGACTAATATAATAAGAATTAATACCCATGTCATGGGGAAGGATATATATATATCTCTGAATACTATTGCGGAGGGTCTAGGTGTCGAGAATAAAGGGAATTCAGATGAAAATGATTTAGATACTATAATACAGCGGGTAGCTAAAAATAACCCAATTCACATAGATATAGAGTCGAGAGTGTTTCACAAAATGCTCACTTGGTATATCCGACCTACTGGGGGAAAATATTCAATGATTCGGACAGCGATTATTGGTGGATAGCAAAATATAGATCCTCCAAAACGGCTCCAAACATTACTAAACTGATATTTAATACAATTGTATATATGGTCACAAAGGGAGCAATAATTTAAATTTCACTGCCATATGGATGTGTCATCACCCATCTGTTGAATAAGAAAGAAGTTGATTTTTCGCATGACGCCCCTTTTCGATTAACCCGCAAGATTGACATGTTATTTATTAAAAAACGAGATATGGTTTTGTTGAAAATGTCGGTTGGAAGTATGTCAAGGATGTCGGATTAGATCAAGAGATGGAGAAAATGGACCCATTGGCCATGAAGACGACCAGCCAATGGGAGACGCAATGATGGAAGAAGCTCCAATTGGAGAGGATGTCACAATTAAGACGGTGATGGAATACATGGTCAATTTTCGGGAGCATATTGATTCCCTTGTGAGTGGAATATGAGCCGATATTTCATCATTGTGCGATGAAGTCTCCATGTTGCGTGATGAATTATGTCAACGACATCAAATGAGTAAGATAATTAATTATTTATGTTTCTAAACATTTACACGTTCTGAAATGTATTTTATTTTCTTTTAACAGATGTGGACAACTAAGTGGTCAATGAAGATGAAGATGACAATGAAGATGATGATGATCCAAACAAGTATATCATGTCTGCAATACCGCCTGCAAGAAAACTTGTAATTTTTTATGTCAATGGTGTCCTTGCCTACTTCCCAAGACAACCAAAAGGTTTTAATTCTGTTCTTTTGTATCCATTATTTTAACATATAAGCGTAGAACTTTAATCTCATTTTCTTCATGTAGATGTTGTCATCAGAACAGGATTATATGAATTTATGCATTTTTGTGTAGACAATTTTGTTGTTGCCATTTGGTCTTCCAAGATGAGGTTAGAACTGTTGAGCAATTGAATTACTGTAGCCAAAATCGTTAATATATAATTAAATGTTAACATTCAAACTTGATTACAATATCAGGCATAACATCGACCGTGTACTTGAGAAACTACCTTTGCTGTCGGACCATTTTCTATTCATTTGAGTAAGATAAATGTCATTACAGTTTGTTGACTTTTATTTGTCTATGATTTCTACATATTTATGTTCGACTGTTTGTGAACAGGATCAAGCAACGTGCAAAACATACGATAATGTTACCTATTGTAAAGATCTCAATGATGTTTGTAACGTGTTTCATGATTTTAACGACCTAAATACACTGTTGGTCGATGATTTAGCGGGAAAAATGATTTATAATCCATTAAGTTACATTTATACAATATGTTTTTCCAGTTAAACAGGTGTTCATACATTGATTGATTAACAATTTATGTGTTTATATAGAAATACAATTACATATGTCCATATCCCTTTGACGTGCTTCCCATTCGAACGACAATGCTCTAGGTATGACACAAATTTATTCATGCTTATGCGAATTTAGTTTATTGTTAGTAAAATTGTACCTCATTAGTTTGATAATTGAAATTATTTATATATGTCCTCAGAAAAAGGCGGTAACATACGATAGTATTTGGAAAATTTGTTGAAGGCGCCTAATGTTCCGGACTTCGTTAGAAATAACCCTTTTTCATCGAATTAATTTCGTTGTGGGTATATTATTTGAACATTGTTATGTATAAATTTGTTGTGTATGTATGTTTTGGTTTGATTATATTGTGTGTATATTTTAATTCAGATGGGATGGGTTGTGCATAACAAAACAATCTATCTATCTCTTCCATGTGAGTACTTTATTAACACCATGTGACAAGTGTGACAACCCCATCAACTCACAACTCAGCTTTGAACTCAATCAATATTGTCTTTTACCCGCTTGATGGTTCATAACGCATGTTACTTGAACAGTATGAATCAATTATGCAATTTTCATGTTTAATTTAACACTACATTTCAAATTCATTTCATATGTAATTGGAGTTTGAATTTAAATTTCAATTTGAGTTTGAATTTCAATATAAATTTCGGCTCCACTATAAATATTAGCCTAAGCCTTTGTTCCATTCAAACAAGAACTTACTCAATAGAAGCATGGGAGGTAACATCAAATTCCATTTCTAAGGTAACAACTTACCTTTTTCAAAACTTATTAACTTAGACAATATGTATGTTATCATTGATTATTCCTAATTTCCATTGTTTTTTTAACACTTTTAAACGCGAGGGAAATCCCAACCATCGTAATTTTTGGTTAACAAGCAGGAAAGATTGGATATCCGAAGAATGCCTTTCGGATGCTATCCATTTCAGACAGTTCATTCAGATAGGTTAACCCTAAACCAAAATTGTCTTAGCCAAACATACTTGATGCAGAAGCATCTGCATATTTAAAATCTCAACGGTGATGTATTTGGTTCTCAAACAGTTAAAGCATCATAAACGTTTCGGACGTATGTTCTGGGTGGTATAATGGAAATGCAATAAATGACAACTAAAAATCCCTATAATTGAGGGCTACAACTTCTAATAATAACAAAAATAATTGAAGGGTACAATTGTATAAACTATCGATACTTTGCTAAATTAACAATGTAAATGGTAAAATTCTACCGGTGCAATGATAATAGGTGTATATGACAAGCGTCTGAACTTGTCATTTATGACTATTTTCATTATACCGGAGAACTTTTATCCGTTTACATTGTTAATTATACCGGGTATATGCTTTACGTGTGTATCTTCCATTATTTAACATTATTATTAAAATATCTAGCGTTTAATTCTCGAGAATATTTTGATGCATTTTGTTGCATTACCCGTGTAAAACCCAAATCATACGTCTAAAATGCTTCCGATGCTTTAAATGTTTGAGAACCAAATAGATCACCTTCGAGATTTTACATATGCAACTGCTTCTACATCAGTTATGTTTCTCTCAGACGGTTTCGGTTTACGGTTATCCTATCTTCGTGAGCTGGATGAAATGGATAGTATTCGGAAGGCATTCTTCGCCTTTCCAGTCTTCCTGGTTGTTACTCAAAATTATGATGGTTGGGATTTCCCTCGCATTTCATTTAGGTTGATTGCTCCGAATATATAACAACATTTGATCTCCGGATCGTTGTTGGTTGATTGGTCGGGCTTTTATATCCATATTTACTTCTCTATATATCGAGACATTTGAGGATTGTTGAAATATCAATACTAGTTATTAATGTATTTTATATCTGCGTGCAACCCATTTTGAAATTATTAAAGAATCGTTTTCAGTAATTTCCAGAATGAATGCCCAATCGAGGTGCACACATAAAGTGTCGATACATTTATTAAAAATATCGATTTCAAAAACACCGAATAAGTTAATTATAATGTAATAGGTAAATTTACAATGTAACCAGTATAAATATACCGGTTAATTCCAAAATAAGTCTACATAATGTATCGACACTTATGTAAATTGTGTCGATACTTTTTGTCTAGAATGAATGACCAAAAGGGATGCACTCATAAAGTGTCGATACATTTAAAATTGTATCGATCCCAGAAACATCGAATAAGTTAATTATAATGTAATAGGTAAATTTACGATGTAACCGGTAAAAATATACCGGTTAATTCGAAAATATGTCTACATAATGTATCGACACTTGTGGAACTTGTGTCGATACGTTTTGTACAAATGAATGCCTTGGGTGCACTCATAAAGTGTCGATACATTTAAAATTGTATCGATCCCAAAAATATCGAACAAGTTAATTATAATGTAATAGGTAAATTTACAATGTAACCGGTAGAAATATACCGTTTAATTTGAAAATAGGTCTACATAATATATCGACACTTTTTAAAGTTGTGTCGATACTTTTTTTAATTAAGCGTGTTTTTTGTTTCCTTAATTATTTATATGTAATGCTATATAAACCCTAAATCAACAAACCTCTTCCACTCGACGAATACCAACGTTCATAACAGTTACGACCAGTTCTTCATGTAAATTTATCGATATTATGGTATTCAAATTAGTTTTTGATTGATTTCCAGATTGGACACTTTTTTCCCCTTCATGTCTTCGATAGGTATGTTATCGGAACCCTAATTTTTTTAGAATGTTAGTCTTCGGAAAGAGGGGTAAGGTTTTAAAGTTTACGGTTTTTGAATGGTTATAGGTTGAAAGTTCAATCTTTGTTCGCGAAAATGATGACCTTCAAATGGAGCCCAGCATATCCTTCAAATGGAGCCCAGCATATCAATATTGAACAAATTTGAAAGCGACCAGTAAATATCAATGTAATCATGAAATTATTCTTGAAATGACAATTGGATTAAAGTATTTAATAACTTTTAATTGATTCAAATCTCTACAGTCTGACTGAATGCGAAAGGATAAAGGAAGCTCATAATCATGTTGACTGCGTAGCCAATAAAACCTAGGGGTCTAAATGGTAAGTTAGGAATTAGTAAGGTAAGATTTTTTTAGGGTTTAGGGTTTAGAGCCCTCCAACGTAAGGAGTGCATGTTTGAACATTACGTATAATAGTTGTATTCAGTTATTGATGAATTGTTCTTAATTTTATATAAGGATAGTTGTAATGATATACGTTAACATTTCGGGACCAATTAGTTAGATGAATGCAGTACCCTATATCCTCGAGGCAGAGCACAAGAAATCTAGCACTTAAAGATTTACCAAGAGCGGTAGCTTTTTCTTTGAATGAAGACCGAACCTAGAATCAACTTTGCAATTATGCCTATCATACTGAAGAGAACCTGCTGAATGATAGGATTTGTATAATACTGTAAGCATTTTAAACCCTAAACCTAACTACTCACATAGAAATTTATGCAACAGAGATTTCAATCATTTTATGGGAAATCCTGACATCTCTGTTGCATAAATTTCCATGTGAGTAGTTGGGTTTAGAGTTTAAAATGCTTGCGGTTGTGTGCAAATCCTATCATTCAGCAGGTTCTCTTCAGCATGATAGGCATAATTGCAAAGTTGATTCTAGGTTCGGTATTCATTCAAAGCAAAAGCTACCGCTCTTGGTAAATCTTTAAGTGCCAAATTTCTTGTGCTCTGCCTCGAGGATATAGGGTATTGCATGCATCTAACTAATTGGTCCCGAAACGTTAACGTATATCATTACAGCTATCATTATATAAAATTAAGAACAATTCCTCAACAACTGAATACAACTATTATATGTAATGTTCATTCATGCACTCCTTACGTTGGAGGGCTCTAAACCCTAAACCCTAAAAAAAGCTTACCTTACCAATTCCTAGCTTACCATTTGGACCCCCATGTTTTATTGGCTATGCAATCAACATGATTAACCTGGATAATCCCAATTACAGAACTGACTCCGGCCATGATTGTGGGAGACTCTAATTTAGAGATTGTTTGGCATTTATGTGATGATGCAGATGGAATATTAAATGGTCTCATAAGCCATAATCAAAATAGACTAAGAGGAAATTTTGTTAATGTAGGGGAAATTTTGTATACGGTTTATAATTTTGTATACGATTTATAATTTTGTATGTGAATGTAATAGGTTGTATGAGATGATAAAAGTTAGCAATAGGTTGTTGTACATGTTTCTTATACATAATAGGAGTCATGTTGATACTTACAATATATGGAGATCGTTGTCATCACATGTGGAACTGAATGATCATTCCATTCCATATTCGAAAAAATCAGTTGATGTAGGCTGTGTGCTTGTATTCAAATTGAGCTTGACTTGAAGACGTGTTAGTTTGTTATGTCCCTCACTGTTGCAGAACCCACATCGCCTAATTTTCTTCTTGACCTTGTTTTTCGGTACTTCTTTTCTCTTGCGTTGTTTTCGTTGAGGGTCGCGAACATTGTTTACTACACTGTTCTGGTTGACTGAATCATTCAAACCAAACGAGTTTTCAAATTCTTCCGTTAGTCTTTTCATCTCATCTTTTGCAGTTTTGAAAGACGCGTCTGTCTTTAATGTAATGTAGCATAACCTACTTGACGTTGCACGTAGAGCAGCGAACCTTGCCATTTGCGTCACTTCTGGAGGCACATTCAAGTCAACATAATTGGGTGCAGAAGCCTTTGCATCCTTAGTCCACCTACTTTGAATCAAAGTCCTGGGAAAATATGTGTAATCCAAGTGCTTCAAAATGTGAAGTTGATGGCAACACGGAAGTCCGGATCTGAATTTTTTGTAGGAGTAATTTAGGGTTTTTGTACGAGAATCAAAACTAATTTCAAATGTCCTATTTTTTTTCTTTGTACTTTGTCAAAATATAATGTCGACATTCATCTAATAAGGACTGAATCTCTTCCTGAATCTGGTACAATGTCTCTTGTTGAAGTTCATCTTGAAACGCACGAAAAGATTCGCGTGTATAAATCTCAGCAGCATGACTTTCAAGGTCGACTAGTTTTGTGAACTAGAAGGGCTTCGGCTGGGAACTTAAGTAATCCGATTTCAACTCATTCAAACGCATTCTTCTAATTTCATCTTCAATTGCACGAACAACATCTAAATATGTCTTCTTGTGTTTCAGTGCAATCGCTAGTGAAGCATTGATGGACTCGCACCTTTGTGTTGAGCGAATATTGGCAAAGAAATGACCGGTTAGATATGCTTGTGCCCATAAGTGCCGAGTATTTCCCTTCTCAATCACCCATGGATGCTTTCGACGTTTGAATTCTGAAACAACCGAACGCCATTGAATATCAAATTCCTCGGTTGTCCACCAGGAATCCATGCATTTTGAGAATGCTGCTGTAAATTTTGGGTCACCAATGTTAGCTTGTGCATTGCGAGAAAGATTCCAAGAGCATAATCTGTGCTTAGCATAAGGGATAACAGATTTGATAGCCCTATGCATTACTCTATCCCCATCGGTGACAACTGAAATAGACGATTTATTCATCATGGCTTCTAAAACATTATATAACACTCACTCGAAAGATTGGGATGTCTCGTCAACGATTATGGCAGTGGCAAACACAATTGTGTTATGGTGATGATTGTCACCAACAATAGGCATAATTGGTCGACCTTACAAATTATCTTTATACGTTGTGTCAAACGCAATTACATCAACGAAGCATGTGTAATCTGATCTCGATGTACAATCTGACCAAATAAGATTATGCAATGCCCATGATTCGTCTATCGAGTATGTCATAAAAAAACTCGGGATCATCATGTTTCTTATAATCAAAGTAAGAAATAAGCACATTCACATCCCCATCGACGATTTCCTTTACTTTACCTCTTTGAAGTGCATTGTAGAGGTCTTTATGTGTAAATTCATCATTATGATAGCCCCCTGTCTACTGTGTTAAATAGTTCATTACTTGTGACGTGCCAACACCAACCTCTTTCAATGTTGTTGCCTCATCGATATCAGCCTTACTTACAGCTCTATTAGAACGCATAAATGGTGTCATACCAGGTGTGCAAAATGCATGATTATGTTTCTATAAGACTTACTTATAACCCAGTGCTCGTTTGTATTTGTTGCTGTAACTACAACTCTAGCCTTGCATCATGTTCTTATGACTGGCGTATGAGCACGTTGACGATCAACAGTATTGACTTTTGATACTCAAAACCCTTATCTGGAACAACAAAATTCTTGTGTCTTCACATTCCCTTTCACGTCAAGCCGTGTTGTTCCCTTACGTGCACTAAACCCATGTTCCCGTGTGAATCCCTTGTAAAAGTACCAAGCCTGATCACGTGAAGAGAAGAGGTGACCAACCAATCTGTCAGATTCATCAACATTATGTACTTCATGTCATTCCTCGGTTGGCTTAACATTGTCTACATCAGTATGATCCATGGCAAAAATTTTGTTGTGCAAGTTCAGTGGTCCCGGAGTTGATGGAGATGTAAGTAAAGGTTCATTGAACAACATGTTTCAGTCGTCTTTCAATAGGATGTGGTATTGGTAGTGGTAGTTGAAGGGTAGGTACAATATTAAATTCACAGGACATATTTAGGTATGTACAATAACTACCTAAATATGTGTCGATACATTTATAAAAAATATCGATCCCAAAAACATCGAAACCCATAATTATAATGTAATAGGTAAATTTATAATGTAACCGGTATAAATTTACCGATTTTATGAGAAAATATGTCTACATAATGTATCGACACTTGTGTAACTTGTGTCGATACTTGTTCTCCAGAATGAATGTCCAAAAAGGTGCACGCATAAAGTGTTGATACATTTACAAAAAGTATCGATCCAAATAATATCGAAACCCATAATTATACTGTAATAGGTAAATTTACAATGTAACCGGTAGAAATTTACCGATTTTATGAAAAAATAGGTCTACATAATGTATCGACACTTGTTTAACTTGTGTCGATACTTTTTGTCCAGAATGAATGTCAAACGGGGTGCACACATAAATTGTCGATACATTTATTAAAAGTATCGATCCCAAAAACATCGAAACCGATAATTACAATGTAATAGGTAAATTTACAATGTACCCGATAAAAATATACCGGTTTTATGAGAAAATAGTTCTCCATAATGTATTGACACTTTTTAAGTTTGTGTCGATACTTTTTTCCATAATGAATGCCCAACGAGGTGCATGCATAAAGTGTCGATACATTTACAATTATATCGATCCAAAAAAATTGAAACCGATAATTATAATGTAATAGGTAAATTTGCAATGTTACCGGTATAAATAAACCGGTTTAGTTAGAAAATAAGTCAATATAAGCGCTACCTATTACATTATATAAGCGCTACCTAATATGTTATTGTACTTGATAATATTTCCGGTTAAATGCCTATTTTATTGTATAAGCGCTACCTATTATATTATATAAGCGCTACCTAATATGTTATTGTATTTAATAATATTTTGGTTAAATGATATAATATAACCGGTCTAAATTTTAACCGGTCACGTCATTTTTTAACCGTTTTTTAGGCGTCGTACCGGAGAAGCTCCCGGGTTCCTATTTTAAGAATCTTCCAAAGTCGAGCGCAATAAAGCTGATTGATTTTGGGAGTACAACATTTGAACACCAGGATCATAGCTACGTGGTGTCTACTCGACATTATCGTGCACCAGAAGTCATACTTGGTTATCTTCTTCGTAACTGAGATGTGTGTGTGTGTGTTTTTGCACATGTGTGAATTTTCTTGACATCTGTCATTTTTGCAGGTCTTGGATGGAACTATCCTTGTGACTTGTGGAGTGTGGGTTGCATACTGGTTGAACTCTGCTCTGTAAGTGAATCTTTGTAGATAAGTTTGTACTTATTGGTGTTATTGAACGCTGAGTCTTACAAAAACCTCTTCTGAGCCAGTTATTAGTTGATAAGATTAAAAATGATGCAAGAGATGAATCAAGTACATAAATCTCATTCAATATGAGTTAGCCTCTAGAAGATAAAACTTGTTTTAAGGTAGCTAGAATGTGGTTTGCTGTTTATTGTAAAATAAAAGACAACTTTAAATTTTCATTATTGATCTGTTGGAATCTAAAAGTTGTTTAATTTCATTCCTAAAGTGATTATGATAATAAATGTTATATATTATTTATGAACAGGGTGAGGTACTTTTCCAAACTCATGAGAACCTAGAGCATCTTGCCATGATGGAGAGGGTTTCAGGGCCATTACCCCAACATATGGTGGTCAGAGCTGAGTAAGAGTGACTGACTATGTTGCTTGTTCTTGTTGTGAGTTTGTTGCTGAGGAAGCTCTTACATAGTGCCTCATATTGTTGCAGCCGTTGTGCTGAGAAATATTTCCGGAGGGGCACACATTTGGATTGGCCTGAGGGTGCTACTTCAAGAGAAAGCTTGCCGGTATGTTATCATGAGTGTGCTCCACTTCTTTTAACTCACTGGCAATTATCTGAACTCACCTGATACCGACAGTGACTATATTTGCTGCTTTTGATGTTCGTCACACAGACTATTATCAAATGGCGGAATTTTTTTATTGCTTTTACTGACAAGGCTCTTTATCCTCCGAAACTTGGGGCACGACCCTAGCTTTTTTTATTCTCAACATCTGCTCCTAAACCACTCTTGGTTCTTTACCTTTTGGTTTTATTTGCTGCATAACTTGATAATGCAGCATGTGGATCATTCTGCCGGTGATTTGATTGATCTCTTGCAAGGGCTACTATGATACGATCCGGTCGAGAGACTTAAAACTAGAGAAGCGCTAAGACGTCCATTTTTTACTAGAGATCGTAGGAGGTTCGGCTACCCTTTGTAATTGGAGATTGGGATCTGTCAAATTTCGAGTATGATCAACCTTGCGTACCCAGGCATATGTTGAATGGCATTTTTGTGTCTTAAAATATATTTACCTGATCACATACATAGTATAATACCCATTCCCTTTCCTGAAGGTGCGTTTTGCATTTTTTTTTGTTTGTTTGGCTTTCTTGGTTTCATGAACGTGCATGTTGTTACCTGGTCGTCGTCTTTGAATTGAATCCCCCCGATAATTTCCGGTTTGCTGTCTGTTATTCAAGAAGAGCAATATTAAAGTTGGTGTAAGAATTTATAAACTGCTGTATACATTATATTTCATTTGTCCCAATAAATTTGTTACCAAGCGACCGAGCATGCAATAGATTGTTGGCGTGCTCAAGGATATCGAGCCACGAGCTTTTGAATGAGATACAATGAAAGTTGCTGTTTTTGTTTGTTTTTCTACCATGATGAGTTTGCTGCAGGAGGTACCATCATACAAGAAGTCGATACCCAGAAAACACCAATACTCGCCCAATAAGAACATTCACATCCAAATACTTGAACCTGTCATCGCTGTCGATCAAGTGAAATCATCATCAGCGTCGCTAGAATCTTGCCCTGACGAAGAAAATTCAGCGGTTAAGTCGGAGGAAGAAAAGTGTTCGTTTGGTAGAAACAACAAGGCTGCAAGGAGTGCTCGTTCCAAATACCTGTGAAGAAGTAAAGAAATCTAGCGTCCCTCTAATTGATCCTACTGTTGACTCCAAGTTGGTTTCTTCAGATGCTATGCATGTAAATGTTATCGGAGTTCCCTCGTCAATCTGAGCAGCGAACTTCAATGTCCGATGGTAGCCACGGTGGTTGTGGCCAACGACGAGACAGTTAAATCCAACACCTCATGGAAGCGAAGTTGGGCATAGATATCGGATCCTGCATTCAAGGGAGTATTTGGTGAGAAGAATACCTTAGTCTTTGATTTTCTAATCAAATGTCCTAAAAAAAACACCAAAAGTATTGAGGATGGATTCAATGTTGATAGCTTGGTCCATATCCGCTTTTGGCATAAAGCACAAGATCATCCGCAAAGAAGAAAAGAGATTAAAATTCCTTCACGTGAGAATTTAAAGGCTGCTCATGAACCATTGTTCACAATAGGGAGATACAGTGGTTAAGTCTTTCAATTGTCAGATTAAAAAGATATAGTGATAAGGGATCCCTTTGACGAATGCCCTTACTTGGAGTAAACGATTGGCTCAATTTTCCATTCCATTGCACCTGCATTGAAGTCAAAGTAACACAATTCATAATTAATTGGATAAAATCATAAGGAAATCCAATATCATGAAGCGTGTCTTCAATAAAGTCCCAATGTAGTCTATCAAAAGCCTTTTGTAGATCAACTTTAACAGTCATCCACCCAGATTGACCTTTCTTATTGTGCAAGGAGTGGACAAATTATTGGTTAATAATAATATTTTTTGTAATATTGTGGCCTTTCAAGAAGCTTGTTTGGTGCAGACTAATCAGAGATGGAATAATAGATTGTAGGTGTCTCACAATGACCTTAATTATCAATTTGTAAAGCATGAAACACAAGTTAATTGGCCGAAAATTCATAAAAGGTTCCGGATGTGGATGTGAAATTTTCAGAATAGGAGCTAGAATTGTGTGTGTAGACACCGTTTTTGTCCGGGTCTTTTCTATTTAATTTTAATCTTATTATTATTATGATTATTATTATTATTATTATTAATTTTATTATTATTATTATTTTGTTTATTAATTATTATTATTATTATTATTATTAATTACATATTATAACATTTTGCAGGCCAATCCCGAGGCCCAAACCAGAAGCCCACTGGAACCCAAATCACTGGCCCAATCCAACAGATAACTCTAACCCTAAAACAAATTAGGGTTTTAAACCCTAAACTAATCTCCAACCGCCGTCGCCATTTGGACTTCCAGCCGTCGCCGTGTGATTCTTCAGATTCCAGCCGAGCTTCATCCCGACAACTTCTGACGCCGTCGTCGTCCTTCCTGCACCAAACAGTGACAGAATCAAATCTAAGACAGAAAATTCCGAAAAATCTTATCCTAATATAGGGTATTATTTTCCTACCAGCTAAGCACTCAAATCAACAACAAAATCCATCAACATCTATCACTAATCGCAAAGAGAAACATAAAAAACAGAGGAGAGAACCAAAGGGGGCATTCGGGTTTGAGAGAAAAAAAAAGGAGAAAGAGTCAAAGAAAAAGAAAATATAAAGAAGAAGAGAGGATAGAAAGACTGAAGTTTACCTCTTGTCGAACTCTGTAAGCGTCGAGGGTCGTCGGAGTAAAAGAATCCGAAGGGTTCTTCGTAGATTCGCGGCGTTTGAGCCATTTCCTAGGGAAACTAACCTCGGATTCGGGATTAGGGAGACGGGGTGTTTCGAATGGTGTCATTCCCTCTCTTCTCCGACGCCGACGTACGGTGGCAACCGTCAGTCAGTGGCAGCCGACACGGCGAGCTCCACCGATTTCTGGGAAACCTTGAAGCTCCAGTGGGAGCTCTTAAAATCTCTCTCTCATTCTCACTCTCCTTTTGTGAGAAATGAAGCAAATGGCCGGTTTGGGGGCTAAAAGGGCCATTATACCTTGGGTGGAATGGCGTCGTTTCACAGAGGACATGGGGAGTATTTTCGTGCCTCGGGCTATCCACTATAAAGGTCCTTCCTATTTTGTAATATTTTATTTTAGCCATTAATACAATGTTAATTTATTTTTAATTTGAGCACTCATTTTGTATATATTTTAATTTGGTCCTATTATTATATATTGTGCTATAGTTGTTATTATCCGAATTTGGTCACCATGTTTTATATTGTTGCATTTAAGTCACCGATCTCGTGTTGTGTGTATTTTCTTTGATGTTCAAAATAAGCCACATAATTTATGAAATTTTTATTTTTGTCACTATTTGTTATTTTGTGTTAAATCCTGATTGTAGCATATATGTTTACTTTTGTTTCGTTTTAGTCCTTTTTATCATAATTTATGGGTTATTTCCATTTCAGTACCTATATTATTAACATTTGCTACATGGGCTCTATTTTTTAATTACTGTTCTAGTCCCTAAGTTTCTATTTTTTCTATTTTAGTTATTTAAGTTTCTATTTTTTTATTTTGGTCCCTAAAGTTTCTATTTTTGCTATTTAAACACTTAAATTTCTGTTTTAGCTATTGTAGCATTTTAAGTTTGGTTATATATCATTTTGGTCCCCGAAATTATCCTATGTGCTTATTGGATTTATATTTTGATTTGTAATTTTAACTTAGTTTTATTTTAGTCCTTTATGTATGAATATTTTATATAATGTAGTTATTTGTGAACATATATATTATTGGCTCTAGTTATTGTACATGTTTTATTTCATTTTTTTAATTGTATTTATTTCCATGGTTTTATTTATTTGTTAATATTACTCTAATATATTCCAAGAACATGTATTTGTAGAATGAGCGTGGAAAGCTTCACTTGGTCGAAGTGATGTGATCCGATACGACATTTTAACAAAAATGTGAACTTGAAATCAATCAACTTTATTTTTGTTAATTAATTCATTTTGTATTTTAAATAGAACAGTGTAATGCATGCTTATCTAAATAGCACTTTATTTTATTTTACTTTAATGCAAAAATGTTGATATACTATTTATGTTCGATTTGTGTTTTTATATATATATTAGATGAGGGAATATTTTTTACGGATAAGAAATAGACGAGATAGCTTTCTCGATGGAGGATTGCTAATCTCGAGGTTTCCTTTCAAGTTAAAGAATTTTCTGTAATTAATTAATTCGAAGTAAATTAATTAAATTTTAATAAATGAATCACACTTTAACTTTATATTCGATTCATAAGTTTCACCATTTACGACAAAGAGTAAGCGACACAATACCAATTTTGGGCACTGTGGGGGTGCTAATCCTTCCCCACGCGTAACCTACTCACGAACCCGTTTTAATAGAATCTTTGTAAACGCATACCAGTTTTTGTCTAAAAATGATTTTTCATAAAATTGTTTTTAAAAGACGTTTTTAGGTATTCAACCTACCTAACTCAAAGGTCGATGGTGACTCCCCTTTCATTTTTATTCAAATCAATTTCAGATTCACCAATTTTCTAAATTAAAGTCATAATCGTTTTTTTAAATAATACATAATTGTTTTTTAAAAAATGGTTATGACAGCTTGGCGACTCTGCTGGGGACTTTTTTAGAGAGTCAAGCTGTAGGTCGCTTACACATTGTCGTTGTGGTCGAAATTATGAGTTCGAGTCTTTAGTTAACTTCTGATTCATTTATTGAAGTTTTTAATTGCTTCATGTTTATCTGTCATACTAACAATTTAATCTATGTTTTCAGATTCGTCAAGGTTTTATCAAGTTTTTTCTTGTTTCATTTTCCTTTTGAGTCAAAGGTAGGTACGCTCTTCCTCCTCACACACATCACTGCATTTGCATAACATAAGTTCTAGACACGATCTTCGATCCAAATTAGTTCGGGTGAACGCTTTACTCTCGTAAGAATTTATTCTTCGTATGAGTTTTAGCAAATAACCCATGGGATACATACCTTATACATTCGTAGGATTTATTCCTCGTATGGGTATAAGACAGTGAATCCCCTCGAATTGAACTCATTCCGTTCGAAACCTATAATGGGTGAGGATCGAGGGTCTGGCAGCCCAAGGGGCACCGACATCAAGGACAATTCGAGTGCCCTTTTCCTGTTAGAGACGAAACCATGCATATAGTGAACTGTAGAACGGTCACCCTAGGTATAGATATACCAAACCTCTGTCCGTTAGTAAGTACCCAAATTAGGTATACACAAAGGAGGATTGTTTCTAAACCTTTTCTTTTTGCTTTAAATTTTGTTAAATAATTACATGCGATCTAGATACCATACAGTTAAGATTATTTTCTTGAATTAATCATTGTGGGTAGAAAGCATGTCCGGGTAGGATTGTTATTTAATTAAAGTGTGTTCAGGTAGATATCATGACAGGGTAGCTGCTATATTCATCTTTGAATAACATTTTTATTTATATCTATTGTCTTACCTGTACTAACTAATTCCTTTTGTTTGTGTGCACTAACTTATTTTTTTCCTGTTATTTGTCATTTTTCATTTTTCTTTGCATTGCATTGCATCGTCATGACATAATGCAAGAGTGTTGGATTTGTAATATAATAATTTTTAAAGAATAACTACTATACGACTGTTGGGTAACTGTTGGGCGATGGCAATTCAGGCAACAACAAACCGTTGTGTTAGATTTGTAATATAATATTTATTAAAGAATTTTTTGCCGTGTTTTCCGATGAGTTAAGGTCTCCGATTGTGACTATTATTTATGGTCATTCTAAACAAATTAATTTACTTAAATTAATTATTATTTTTAATTAAAAATCATTATTTAATTATAATTTTATTAAAAGTAAAACTAAATTTCAATTAATTTTAAAGAAATCCAATACTTTTTAATATTTACACAATAAAGACAAATTTGATTGTGGTATGTTTCGGTATGTCGCTTTAGTGACACGTTACGGTATGCGACGTACATTGTAGACTCTTCCATATTTTAACGTGATTAATATTTTTTTCTTTCCTTAATATTTTATAATATTAAATTTTTGCGTATTGTCTGAATCGATTTATATTAATCGATTAAGTCAATAGTATATAATAATAAAATATATTAGTATGAATAATTTAAAAAATTAAGGAAAAACTAACTGTCCAACCAATTAAACTTGCTCAGATTTTTAATTTTATTAATATTTTACAAAATATGTTGATTTTACATTTCACTTGACTGAATATATTTCTTTTCATATATAGCATAAATAATACTGTGGTGGACTATTCTAATAAAGTTTACAACACGATAACAATGATTCGATCACATTGTGACAAGTTATATAAGATATCCAATCAAAAACGAAACGAATAAACCCTAAAAAGCAAACAAACAATAATTTTTTTCACTATTAATAATTTTTAATGACAAAATAAATAAATAATCATCCCATTAAATTAAATATATATATAATTATGACAAAAAATAAAATCGTCATAATAATTTATCACAATTAACAAACATGTGTAGTATATGGTGACAAAATAAATTTTGTTATCAATTTTTATCACAAATATTTCCCTCCATTTTTTTGGTGCCAAATTAAACTATTATAGTGATTAGTTTTGTAACTAAAAGTTTTAGTAAATATAACATAAAAACTTATTAGAACAAATAATGAGATTTAGATATGTTGTGACAAATTTTATTTATAATTATAGTGACAAAATGTATAACCACAAATGATTATTTTCAATTTTTGGTGTAGAACCAAAATCATATAGTAACATGTTTTTGTTACTATAAGCTATAATTATTGTTACAAAATAAATTGTCACAAAAATTAATGAGATTCAATTTTTAGTGAAAATAATGTTTATATTTATATATTTTAATTATAGTGACTAAATATATTATCATAAACAATTCCCTCCTTAATTTTAGTGTCAAAAAAGTCATATAGTGACAAATTTTATAAGTATAAATATTAATAATTAGTACAAAAATATTGTCACAACAAATGATAATTTTCAAGTTTTTGTGACAAATTATATTTGTAGTTATAAATAACTATTTCCTCCATTTTTTTCAAAAAGTTATATAATGACAAGTTTTGCAATTAAAAATTATAGTTATTGTTATAAAAGATTCACATCAAATAATAAAATTCAAGCTTTTTTGTATTTAAATGTAGGCGTGCAAAGATTTATGGATCGTCATGGCGGACTTCAATTTATTTTTATTTCTAAAGAGCGAATTTATGTTCTCAATAAATTTCATTCTAGACATTTTATGTTTATTTTAATGCTATCTAATGTTAGCTTCAATGTTATTAAAATCGAACCGGACCGGCCGATTCGACCGGTTGAACCGTGAACCGGTGGCCTGTCCGATCCGGTTAACTCCCAAAACCGGATTAATACAAACCGATAAAGAACCGGGGTAAACCGGCTAAAAACCGGCAAAACCGGTTTGAACCGCCAGTTCACTTTTTTTCTTTAAAAAAATTAAACCAAACAACGTCGTTTGTTCAACGAGCCGAGTCAAATTCGAGTATTGCTGAGCTCAAATCGAACTCGAAAAGTTTAAAAGTAAGCTCAACTCGACTCAAAAAACTCACGAGCTAAAAATTATCAACTCGAAATATAATATTAAAACTTGAAATCTTAAAGGCTCGAACTCAAAAAAAAAATTTAGAAGTTCAATTGAAGCCTAAAGTTTGAGCTCAATTGAAGCGAAAGAATAGTTCACTTTGTGCTCACCAAAAGACTCCATGATTTTGAATGTCAAATTACCTCTATTATTTATAGAAGTAAGTTGGGATGCTCTTCTATGTTTCTTAGCCATGTGGGATTGTTTTGTTCTCATATTTTTACTCTTTAAACTTTTGGGATACTCTTCTATGTTTCTTAGCCATGTGAGATTGTTTTTTTTAAAACAATTAAACCAAATGACATCATTTGTTATAATTTTTTTAAGCCCCAATTTTATTTTTTATTATAGTTATATAATTATATTTATTATTTAATATGTTTTACCTTAAATATTATGTTGTAGTTGATTTGAATCATTTTGTTTCACTTGATTTTATGGTTTTTCATTTATACATGTTATGACTTGTGATATTTTTATACCTTTTAATATTGTAAACTTAAAAAAAGTGTTACATATATATTAATATTGTTTTGAATATTATGTAAAATTAAAAAAATATTATTTTATATAAAATCAGGTTCAACCGCGGTTGAACCCGGTTGAACCAGTGAACCAGTACCTTCACCGGTTCAATGTTCGGTCCGGTTTTGAAAACATTAGTTAGCTTTATTATTATAAGATTTATAAACATTTAATATTTATTTTATTATTATAAGATTTATGATAAATATTAATTTCTTAATATTAAAATTATGAATAATAATATTTTTCATAATAACAAATTGTAACAAATTTATTTAGTCATAAAAACATATTAAATTTAATCAAAATAAGAAATTATGTAAAATAAATTTAGTCACAATATTTTATTAAAATAACTAATTATGACAAATTTATATTGTCAAAATAATAATTATTTGTAGTTAATTGAAACAAATTTATTTAATCATAATAATATATTAAATTTAGTCAAAATAAGAAATTATGTCAAATTTATTTAGTCACAATATTTTCTCAAAAATAATAAATGATGAAAAATTATTTAGTCAAAATAACAATTAATAACAAATATTAATTTCTCAATCTAAAAATTTATGGTAAATAATATTTTTTTCACAATAATAAATTGTAACAAATTTATTTAGTCATAAATCAATTTAAATTTAGTTAAAATATAAAATTATTTTAAATTTAATTCGTCACAATATTTTCTCAAAATAAAATTTTTTGATAAATTTATTTAGTCATAATAAAAAATTGGGTAAATTACAGAGTTGATCACTTTTATTTCAGTTTTATAAACGTATGGCCACTCGATTCAAAAAATTTAATTCGTAGTTACTTTTGTTTAATTTTAATTAAGATATGATCATTTTTGTTTCATTTTAATTAAGATGTGATCATTAAAATGTTAACTTCCGATGTTAATAAAAGGGTTTAATTTTTACTTTAACCATTGAACTTTAGATAAAATACTAATTAGAGATTATTTTATAAATTCAAAGCCCTTCATTTTTACAGAAAAAACCTGCAGAGCTTGAGATAAAAAAATCGACCCCAATTTATGTTCCATTCCCACTTTATTCGTATTATATCTTCGTAAATTCGTCTCCTTTCTGGGGGTTTTGGGTAGTTTCAGAATGAGAGAATCTGTCCTTCCGCTGCCGTCTCCGTCGCAGCAACCTTTGTTGATATACCATGAGAGTGATTTCCCCACACGACTCATCTTCCCGCATGTCAAAGCTGTCTCCGCTTCGTTTTCGCTCTTATTGGTTCTATCTTTGTGCCTCCGCAAACTTCGGCGCCGACGTACAAACCCCGCGGACTCCAAGCCGTCGCATCAGTACTCATATTTCATCCTCCGTCGCGCTACTTCCTCATTCTCCGCCTCTCGCTGCATTGGTCAAGGGGATTTGGCTCCGTCTATCGCGCTACCATCCCTAAACACCACAATGGAAACAACAACAACGGCCACCAGACCGTCACCGTCAAGGTGATGGACATCGGCTCGCTCCAGGACGAAGAGTTAGCTCGACTCTTCCCTCGTCGTCTCGATCCACGAATTCTCTTACGACCAGAAACAACGCCGTATGCTCCTAGTTTATGAGCTCATGACGAACGGTAATCTGCAAGGCGCTTCGCTTCATCGGAAATGCCCGGAACTAATGAACTGGAAACAGAGGTTTTCGATTTCTGTCGATATCGCCAAGGGACTCGACTATCTCCATGAATTGGATCCTCCAATAATTCGAGAAGATATTAAGCCAAAATTGCAGATTTCGGATTAGCAAGGTTGAAGTATGAGGAAATTACAGTGGAAATAGCTGAGGATTAGATCTGTAGCTGAAACATATAAAAAAGGGGTAAATTAGAACTTTGTCCCTAAATTACTTTGAATTTATAAAATGGTCCCTAATTAGTATTTTATATAAAATTTAGGGATTAAAGTAAAGATTAAACCGTTTTACTAACCCACATCATCAAACTAATGGAGATTAATATTTCAATGACTAAATCTTAATTAAAACAAAACGAAAGTGATTACAAATTAAGTATTTTGAATTGAGTGACCATAAATTTATAAAACTAAAATAAAAGTGACTAACACTGTAGTTTACCCTAAAAAATTATAACAAATGTTAATTTCTCAATATATCAAATTATGACAAATAATATTCTTTAACAGTAACGAATTGTAACAAATTTATTTAGTCATAAAAATTTATAAGAAATATTTAGTGACGAAATAAAAGTAGTGAGAACTTAAATTTTGTTGTAATATGTCTTTTTGTCACGAAAACCTCTTTTGTTCGATGTTTTAATTTAAGTTAATTATGATAAAATTTATTTTTTGTGATAAAATAAATATTTTATTTCAACAAATATTTTGTTTTTGTAAACTACATTTAGTGACGAAGTAGAAACAGTGAAAAAATAATTTTTGTTACAATATGTATTTTCGTCACAAAACCCTTTATATTTGATGTTAAAATATAAGTTAATTATCATAGAATAACCTTCTCGTCACAAACATGTTATCGATATGATTAGGGCTGCATGGTGGCCCTAATGACAGATCAAGATCAAGCAGGTCTTATGATTCATATTATTGAATCAAGAAGATAACATGAAAGATAATATTTTAATACATTTAATATTGAATACCATTAAAAGTCAAATCCACTAAACCATGGAAGATAACATTATAACAAAATAAACTCTTAACATTAATATAAGAGAATCAGTAGTCAAACAATTAATAAAATGGAAAACGAGATCAAATATCAAAAGGTCCGGTGGGATCCAATTGCTTGCACAATTCCACATAAGTGAGATAAAGCACTCGATCTTTAGCAGCCGTCTTATGATTCCTGGTATGCTTGCAAAAATACTTCAAATGCGTTAGCTTGCAGCACCCCAGCATCTTCCCCAACAGCAAGAACAGCCAATTTATCGATCTTTTCTTCGTAACAACTGGCTTGACCGGACTACCACACGTCTCGCAGCTCGGCAGATTTGGATTCGTCCATTCCGACGGTGCTCGGTCATGCAAAGAAAACCTATTTACTCTTATGAAATCCGAAATCTCTCGGAATTTCTGCAGCAAATCGTACTCGATCGTGTAAATCCGCTCACATCTCTTACATTGAACTTCACCACTAATAGTGGTTATGTTGTGGGTTAAGAGATAATCAAGTGTATGGACTGTGGCACGCTTGCTTGTGGCCCAAGGGAACGGTGGTGGTATGCTTTCGGTCCTGCCTTGTCTTGGGGTCTGAGAGGAGTTTCTTCTACGGCCCCGAGGGGGGCGTGAATGGCTCACGGTCTCTCGAGAAAACACATTGCTGTTGTTCGGGTTAACTCCAGTTGGGGTATGAGCTTCGAGACTCGAGTAAATTGGTAACGGTGGTGGTTGCGGGATCGGGATCATCGATGGTAAAACCGAATCCTGTGGCAATGGTGGTGACGGTTGTGGTAATTGAAGGATTTGTTGCTCTGATGACGATGACGGCAATAGAGGTGACGTAGGTCCTATTGATAATCTTAGGGTTAGCAAACTTTCAGTGTCTTCGTCGCCATTAGTATTATAACTTTGGAAAGAAGAAGAGTTCATGTTATCCATGTCAAAATGAAGAGAAGAAATATGAGAATTTTTAGCTTGAGAGAGTGAAAAGAACGTAGAAGAAGACAGTTAAAGAGATGTTCTTAAGGGACTTATGTAATCCTTTTTAAAACTAAAGAGTCTTAATAAAATTGAAACTCTAAACTGAAATTCAAAAAGAAAGGAATATGTCCCTAAACAAAATTATCTCTGTAATATAAAAAGAGAATTTAAAGGAGTTTTTATGGGGATTCATATTATTCTATTTGAATTCTTTTAAAAAGGTAAATATACATGCAATGTTAGTTTGGATATCGTATAACTAAATATTTGATTTTTTAAAATCTTATTTTAAGTTTTACCAACTTTCAAATTTTATATATTCTATACCAAATTTTAAAGGAATCTTATTTTTCTATTCTCGTTCTTACAGTTTTCGATTCAGATTAATCAATTAATAAATCGAATACCGATAATTATAGAAAAAATCTCATATTTGACGAGATTAAAATTTTATCATTAATGTACTAAATAATAATATCAACGTACAACTGTTTTATCTCTTCCAATTGAATCACTAATATACGACAATAGACTACTATGTATCATTACATTATATTAAACTAATAAAATAACAATAAAGTGAAACGTTATATTACAATTGCCAAACTTTATTATCCGATAAAAGAAATATAAATCTAATGTTCAAAAAAATTAACTCTAATTTTTAATTAAAAAACTTAAGATATATATATTAAAAAAACTATGATGCTATAAAAAAATGAGTTATCAGAAAATGGTTTAACATGCTTAATATTTTTTCATCTTTCCTTGTTACTTTCATAATAGTATTGTCTGAATTGAACTATGTTAATCGATTAAATCAATAGTGTATAATAAAAAAAATAAAATTACTTAAAAAATTAATCTGTCAAAAAAATTAAAATTAAGGAAAAACTTTCCTTACCAAGCAGAAAATTTAATCTAAACCGAAAATAAAAGACTTCCTTGTTAAACTGAAAATTTAATCTACACGTTAATATACTAATATAAGACATATGTTTTATTGAACAACGTTCGAAATTTGAACCTTAACGTTATAGGTAGAATAAATCATGTTGAAAAAGCCTCTCATAATGAAATTTTATTATAATCTATCCAAATTAATAATAACTCAATAGTAATAATTATAAAAAAAAATCTATAAAAAAATTTCTATCAAAAATCAAATGGTACTATATCGGGACATAATTGTTTGCATAGTCCAATGTAAGCAAGATAAAGAAGTCGAACCTTTGCTCCCGTCATATGATTCTTCGTGTGCTGGCAAAAGTACTTCAGCTATGAAAGTCTGCAGCACCCCAGCTTTTGTCCCAACAGCAAAAACAGCCAATTGATATCCCTTTTCTTTACGATAATCGGTCTCAGAACGCTCCCACAAGCCTGACAATTATCAAGCCCCGGATGCATCCAACAATCCGGTGCTCGATCATTCATCGTTGTCATGTTAGCCAACACGAAATCTTTAATCTCATTGAACTTTTCTACCATGTTGCATTCAATCGTGTATCTTTCTTGGCACCCTTTGCAATAAACTTCACCACTAATGGTATACATGTTTTGAGATAAAAGATAGTCAAGGTTGTGAACCGTGGCCCGTCGTGTTGTAGCCCATGGATATGGTGCACCTATGGTTTCGCTTTTCCCTGGTTTGAGTTTCCGAATCCGATTTCTTCGTGATCGGCTTTGATAACGAATAGGGTCGGCCAACACCGTCATCAGGTTAGTGTTATGGATATGGGAAGGGCTACATGGTGGCCCTAATGAAAGATCGAGATCAAGTAGCTCTTGATGATGTTCTCCTTCACCACTAGAGGTATGGGAAATCAAGCGTTCTCTTGAGTTAAGGTTGCTTGGAGAAGAAGAAACTTGATCTTGGGAATCCATAGAAGCTAAAAGGTTGAAATATGGAAGCTGAGGGTTTTCTTGCACTGAGGAAGAAGAAGAGAAAAAAGAAGACGAAAGAGAAAGCTCTAAGTTTTGGGTCCATATGAAAAAAAAAGTTGAAAGAGGAGTTGACGGGAGTAAATCGAAAAGCAAATAACCTAAGGCAACATATATATATAGTATAATATGTATATGTTTGTGTGAAAAATATACAAATTAGGGCACTCCAACTTGAACATCCAAATTCAGATTGTCTATGTGATAGTCTTGTCTTACTATTTCAGTTTAACTGGAATTCAAATTCAAAACTATTTTTTATATAAAAAAAGTATGTAAAATATGTTTATATATTCGGACTTTTAACATCAACTCGTAAGATAAGATAAAGTTTAAAGTAGTTTTAAACTTCTGCTACGTACGAGACGTGTTAGTTTGTAATAAATCTTATAATATATAAATATAAGCAATATATAGATAATTTAAATATTGAAAATAAATATGAAAAAATAATTATATATTTTTAAATAGATAAAAATAATTATAATTAAAATAAATCAGATACAAATAATAAAATTAATATAACACAAAATTGATATTTATGAATCATAATATTTTTTATTTGTTACCTATAATGATTAAATAGTATACCGATGTTTAAATTATTAATGTTATCTAATGAAAGAACACGTATAAAAATATTAACAAAACTCCTAAATAATAAATTTTGAACCACGTAAGAATGTAATACGACAAACCATCATAGTCTCTTTTAGTTTTTTCACGTCTTTCTTTTAACCGGAATTACTAAAAAAATGTCAAACATTAATTTTTATACCCTAAACCCCCTTTGTCAACCCTATTTTTTAGTTTAACAATAAAAATTAATAAAAATGCGTGTATATTAAAATTAGAATCCTGATAGATCATTTTAAATTAATACTTTTTGAAAAATTAAAATATTTTTACTTTTTTTAAAAAAATATGTTTTTGAAAACAGAATAAATAAAACAACTTCGAGAGTAAATTCTTATACTCAACTCGAATTAATGTGAGTATCTGCATTTTTTTTAAACAAAATTGGATTTCATTATTAAGACAACATGGGAAGAACAAAAAGTTAATTCATGCACAAACTCTCGGCCTACAAAACCTGATTCAAATGCAAACATTTATTGTATTTGATTTTTCCTACTAAGATAATTTATAATTGTGTTGGATTGGTTGATTCTGAATGTTCAACTAATTCGAATTGTGTATTACAGAGATAAAGACGACATTTCCAACTCAATTTACTTCATTCGCAATCGTCAGGATTCGAACTCCTAACCTTACTTAAGGGATCTATTGTCTCATCTCACTAAATCAACTTGTTGTTGGTATGTAGGCGTGTTTATTATTTCTAGCATGTGATCGACTCATAATTGTTTTTAGGTTAACTATAAGATTGATCATTTATATTTGTGTTTTGTCTATTATTTCACTGATTTCAAAAAACATAATATGGCGGGTGTCGTTTTGCACTTCAAAATAAATTCTTTATTCTCAAATAAATAAATAAGGAAATTTAACGTAATATAGAAGGAGAGTCGAACCCACAGAGACTAAGGAGATAGACAAAATTCTATCTTTTGACTCTCGACCTTTAGGCGTGAAAAAGAAAGAAATAAATGAGGTATTGCGGTTGAAGAATAAAAACAAGAAAATTTGATTTTAAGAAAATAGAGAAAGATAGAATCTTAAGAATTCAATGGATTAAATTAGTTTAAGCATTCACTTTGACTCACATTCTTCGAATCATCAAAATAGATTTAATATTAGAGATTCACGTTGATTATTTTATTTATAAAAAATATTTACGACTAACTTATATACCGAATATCCGAAAACAGCTCTTAAATCTCAAATTTAAAAATTAATCATATCAACATTAATTTTTATAAATCAAGAACCACTAAACGGATAAAACCCGACTAAGATAGTGGTTTTCATACGAAAGTGTTACTTGCGTCCAGCTTGATAAAAGTCTTGTCAAGGGGTTGCATGTTAAAATAAAAAACAATATGTTTTAGAGCAGGGTGTCACGTCAAAACAGTATGCCCTTCCCATTGTTTTTCCACCAGCGAAAAAAACACCCATTTAATTATTATTTTTATATTATTTAGACTTTATTTTTTGATTTAATATTTTTTTTTTTTGTAAGAATGCGCGTCCCTTATGCTTTACACCACGTGAGGTAAGGTGTGTTCATACAACGCGTCTTGTTAAATGTGTAAAAAATTCGAGTGTTATTTTTGTAAATATTTTTACAATAGTGTCTAACATGTAATTAATTTCTATTAGGGTGATATTTGTATAAAAAACCAACTTTATCTATTTATTATTTATGTGATATTATTTTAACAACAATTAATAATATTTATTAACTTTTAAAATTAATTGTTTAAAAATATAAAAATAGTAAAATAAACTTTTAATTACAATTGAGAGATCAAATGAATTATTATTTATTTTTTAAAAATAAATAAAAAAGAATGAAATGTGAATAAAATTCAATAAAAGAATGTAAAGCTAAAAAATATCACATCTTTATTTAAAATATTCTTTCTAATATTAATTTTAAAAACTATAAAATAAATATTAAAATTTAATTTTATTAAAAATGAATAAACATTATTAACTTTTGTTAAAAAATAGTAATTAATGAATAATAATTCATTTGATTCCTCAATTGTAATTAATAGTTTATTTTTATATTTTTAAACAATTAATTTTGAAATACTCTATTCTCAAGACCTAAAGTCAAGTTTATGATTGTTAAACAGTCGTAGGTGTGGAAAGCTACATGAATCGAATGAAAATTCGATCGTACAAAGTCAATAACTCAAAATTGTTTAATTGCTGTCTAAATATAAACTCAATTGTACCACGAATAAACATTCGATCAAAGAGTTGATCTTTTCTGCTCAATCTTCACAAAAACTGTTTTGTCTCATCATTTTCTCCCGCGTATGAGCTCATTTCTTTTTCAATTCTTTTCTGTTGAATGTAGTTGCCCACATGCATACAGAAAAATC